CTTGTTGACATTGTTTCGCCAGATAGGAAGTGAGGGGGGCCCTCCAAAAAAGCAACACAGACAGAAAAAAGAAAAAAAAAAACACAGAAAATTGTATCATACTCACCGTAATTTCCCCTTCCTGGTGCCTATCATGATAGCATACTAAAGATATGCTGCATGTAGGCTACAGGAAAAATGATTTTCGTTAGAAAAATAGGGTTCCCCTCTCTTACGAAGCCCCAGATAGCAAAAAAAACATGTAAGAGGTTCTAATCCTTACCCACTCTATCCAAAATGAAGAAACTACGTTTTTACATATACTTTGAGGTGTTGTACTGACTTTTTTAGCACTCAAAAAAGAATTGCTCACATATCGGCACATATTTCCATACACACCTCTCTTTTCTTTGCAGAGACCACCAGATCCAGTACAGATTTGGGATCCCCCCATGTATCGATCTCCGTCAGGTCATAAAGGTAGCAGCTAATAGGGCCAAATGTCCACTGCAGTTGCCTCCTCTTCTGTACAATGTGCTGGAACATCTAGGCAGACCAATATAAAGTTAGGCTCGTTCAATAAACCAATGCAAGAAGCGCTGTGAATGTACACACTGCTTACGAAAACTGTACACAGGATACCGAACATACTGAATAATAGATTTAGGGCCGATTCACACCAGATGCGCTGGGACTGTGCTGACCACCTTTTCCAGCGCAGCCCCAATGCAATGATGAGGCAATTTACCTTGCTTTCAATTATCTCAGTTTCATTGCAATACTTTTGGAGTTCTGTAATGTGCATTTATTATTTCTTTGCATTGGAGCCAGTAAAGCATTGCAACTGCCATCAGCGAATGGCGGATGCAATGCTCTGGCCCCTGCAGATTTCCATTTTATTGGTTGCTAGGACACCAATGACGTTGTGTTACAAACTTGATTGGGTTCTAGGAGGCCTGATCCTGAGCTGGCAGACGCCCGTTGTTTCCCTTGCTAGGCCATGGAGGAGCGTTGTCACTGTTTTATGGATAAT